CTTGCCCTCTCTACCATCCCTACTCTCTTACTAGTTTTCTATCTCTCTTTGGCTACAGGCTGCTTCTATATTGACCACCTTACCTACATGCCCATCCTCATGTCTCCCCTGCCCTCCAGAAAGCCTCTCTTAATCCATCCATCCCTATTAATTACCACCCCATATCTCTTCTCTCTTTTATAGCAAAACGATTTTAACAGGCCATCTACACTAGGTGCTTTTAATTTCTTCTGGACTTTCTATAGTCTGGCATGAGATCTCAAACAATTTAACATTTAATATTAATGTTTAATTTAATTAGAATATTTAATTTAATAATTTAATATCAATATTTAATAAAATAAATTCAAACAAAATTGCTACCTCTAAAGTTACCAATGTTCTCTTAATTGTATAAATAAATGGCCTTTTCTCAATCCTCATCATTCTTGACCCCTCTGCAGCCTTTGACAGTATTGATCACCCTCTTTTCCTTGACATCCTCTTCTGTCTAGATTTCCATGACATTATTCTATGCTGGTTCTCCTACTTGTCTGACGGCTCCTTCTCAAATCTCCTTTGCTGGATCTTCATCCAAGTTATACCTACTACTTATGTGTGTCCCCCAGTGCTCTGTCCTAGACCTGCTTCTCTTCTTCCCCTATGCTATTTTGATTGCTGATCACATCAGCTCCTATGGATTCAATTATCATCTTTCTACAAAGATGATTTTCAAATCTACTCATCTAGCCTAACCTTTCTCCAAACCTCCAGCTATGCATTTCTAACTGCTTAATGGACACTTAAATTCAACATGTCCAAAACTAAACTCATTTTCCCCATTTCTGCACTTCCCTATACCATCGAGGATACCATCATTCTCCCAGTCATCCAGGCTCCCGACCTAAATGTCATCCTTGACTTCTCACTGTCTCTTATCTACTACATCCAATTATCGCCAAGTTCTGTCTATTTTACCTTCATGGCATCTCTTGAATATGCCCACTTCTCTCCTCTGACATCGCCACTACTCTAGTGCAGGCCCCCATCACCTCGTGCCTGGACTACTCTCTAATCGCACAGTCACCACATCGGTTCAGATCCTCATCACCTCTCTCTTGGTGTGCCTACTTCTATTCAACTTCAATCCATCCTTCACTCAGCTATCAAAACAATCTTCCTAAAGCCCTGGTCTGACCATGTCACTCCGCTATTCAATTAACTCCAATGGCTCCCTATCAGTTCCAGGATCAAATATAAAATCTTCTGTTTGCCATTCAAAGCCTTTCGTAACCTGGCTTCCTCCTAACTTTGCAATCCTCTTCCACCTTACTAACCCGAATTCTGCAATCCAGTGTTACTGGCCTTATTGTTGCTCTTTGCACAAAACAATCCTTCATGGGCTGACCTCCAAGAATTCTCTTCCTCTTCAGCTCTGCCTCTTGGATTCTCTTCTTTCAAGTACCAGCTAAAGTTCTACCTTCTACAAAATGCTTTTAATGAGGATGAGGGTGATTAATGATAGCTAGCATTTATATAATGCTTCAAGGTTTACAAATTTCTTTACATATGTTAACTCATTTAATCCTCACAACAACCCTTGTGAGGTAGGTGCTATGATTATCCTCACTTTACAGATGAGGAAACTGAGGCAAAGAAAGGTTAAACAATTTGTCCCAGGTTGCACAGCTAACAGGAGGCAGCTAAGTGGCTCAGGGGATAGGGCACGGGGCCTAGAGTCAGGAAGACCTGGATTCAGATCTGGCCTCAGAAACTTACTAGCTGTGTGACCCTGAGCAATTTACTTAATCTCTATTTGCCTTAATCCACTGGAGAAGGAAATGCCAAACTACTCCAGTTCTTTGCCAAACCCCATGGACAGTAATGACGCATTGTGGTACATAGCAACCTAAAGAGTCAGACATGACAGAACAACTGAAAAAGGACATAGCTAGTAAGTATCTGAGGAAGGATTTGAATCACCAATCCCCTCTAATTCTATGCCTTCCCTCTGTTGATTATCTCCAGTTTGTCATGTATGTGTCTTGTTTGTACATGGTTGTTTGCAAGTCTGTACATGAGTTGATGCACTTGCCTTCCAGAATGTTAGCTCCTTAGAGCATGCATTGTTCTTCACTTTTCTTTGTATCTCCAAGCACTTAACCCAGTGCCTGGCCCATTGTAGGCACTTAATAAATGTTTATTGATAGACTGACTCGAACATACCCTTGTATTCCTCCCATGACCTGTAGCCTAATGGTACTGGGGCCTTGTCCTTGAATTAACAATTAACCTAAGCTTAAAGTTTTATTTTGTCTTTTTTTTTCCATTCCAATCTAGGTTGGGGTGGCAGAGTTTCATTTGATTAATGAAGGATAGTTACAGGCTTTGGGGTTGATGACACACCTCAAGACTAGCCTAAAGTCACCTTGGAAAGCCTAATGCCAGCTGCTGGTCTAGGTAAAAAGGAAACATGGAAAATACCATTCCAATGGATGGGATTGCCTGTCATCGATCTATTCTGATCCTTAGCAGACACCAGCTGTTTGAACTGAGTCCAGCTGATGTGATCTTATTTTTCCCAGATGGAGTTCCCACAGCAGAGGCTCAGATCAATTTTCACTCTTCTTAAGTAACATTGGTCAAATTCTAACTAAAGCGCCAATGCGTTTGGCACCAGAAATTCAGTTTGGACTGTTTCCTCCAAAGCAGGAGAGACAATCCCTAGGAAACCAGCCCACTGGATAGAGGTTCCTGGAACTGTGTTGCTGCTCTTCTCTCAGTTCTATCCTCACCACACACACACACACACACACACACACACACACACACACACACACGGCAGGAAGTAAAAAAGAAAGGGATTTTCTAAAAATGTCCATTACCCCATAGAATAATCTGACCATGGATTTAAGGTTCTAGCGAATTAGTTTCCATAAGAAATCTATCCCTGTCCTTATGGTCACATAATGTCCCAGGTTATTTCATTTTCATCACTATTGTTGAATCATCATTCCTTACATCTGTATAACGCGTTACAATTTTCAGAGTAGTTTCATATATATGATCTCATGAGTTCGTTATGCCATTAGTTGGAAAGAAGACTGAAGAACTGAGATCAAATCCCTTCTCTGCTGTTTGCTGCCTGGAGCTTGTCCAGTTCACAAAATTTTGCTTAGGAACTAAGTGACCTTAACTGAGAGAGAAGGCATAAAAATGCCCCTCCCTTCCTTCTTTGCAAAGGTGGGAGCCAAGTGATCCTTGCATGACTGTCAGGCTCATTCAATGTATTGATGATGCTGCTTGACAGCTATTTTTTTCCCCTCTCTTTTTCATTCTTTTTCTTTTTCTTTTTCTTCTTTGTCTTTTCTTTTTCTGGCTCACTGGGTAAGGGAAGGTCTCAGATTACAAATCATAGATTGAAAGCTCAAAAGGACCATAAAGGCCGCCACAGCCAAAATCCTCATTTTAGAAAAGAGTTCGCGGAAACCCAGCAAGATACAATAATCTGCCAGTCACCGGATTAGCGAAGCTTCTGAGGCAACCCTCCAGCTCAGGAAGTGCTGACCCTACATTCAGTGCTCTGCCCACTCCACCTACGCATATGAAAACAAAAGATATCAACAAAAGTTCAAAAAAAAAGATGCTTGTTGCACTGAATTTCATTCATATTACCGAAGAGAAAACTGAAGCCGAGAAAGCTGATATGATCTTTCTGAAATTCTATAGCTAGCCCTTTCTTCAGGAAGATTTTATTCTTATTCTCAAATAGATACAACACCAGGGAATACATGCATATCAATGAGGCAAAGGGGATGTGAGAAAACACTGTTCTGGTTCAGCAAGGTTCTGCAATGGAGCTAATGATTTCTGAGAGATTGCAGGGAAAGAAGGAAAGAAGAAAGGAAGGAAGGAAAGAAGAAAGGAAGGAAGGAAGGAAGGAAGGAAGGAAGGAAGGAAGGAAGGAAG